CCTGCGCGCGGGCCGCATTTACATCTTATTGTTTAGTTGTAATTACTGGCTGAGGAGGTAGTGTTTATTGAACAAGTCCTTTGTTCTGATGGATACAGTAGGCTACATACAGGCTGTCGGAGTTTGATCTGGTCGATCTTGATGAAGATAGATCAAAATGAGTATTCAACGGATAAGCAAGTCTACGCAATTTCGTCTAGTTTCCCGATATTAAAGTAGGTGAAGACGAAATATTAGACGAGAATCGCGTTCATACTCAGAAACCAGGTAGTTCCTACGGAAGATGAAGGCCAATTGGTCGGAAGTTTAGGCAAACTTCCCTACTCCTGTTGACGCAACCAATGAGTCGTTGATTGGCGGAGTCGGAACGCGTAGCCGTGTCTGCCGAATTCTATTCCTTTGCAAAGCGGTCTTCTAAAACTTCTCTGTCTTATCCTGTAAAAACGCATAGCTCCCTGTATTGTATTATTATCGTCCGTCAAGTACCATGGACGGAACACGGCAATAGATAATTCTCATCAGCGAATTTGGCTACCATCACTGGCTACATTTGCTTCTGAAACCCCTTCCCGCCTTTCTGAATTGTCTTTTTCTTTGTTCTAATCTTTGGATGTGCAGATAGTATGTTCATTGGGCGGGCGTTGATACGTGTGGTATTGGCCTCCGAATCCATGACAGTTCAAAGCCAATCACCTATTTTCGGAGTACAACTGTTGGTCACTTTCAGACTGACAGCACTCATACGTTGGGATTGTTATATTCTGTTCGTCTCAGGCAATGAAAAATTTGGCGCATAGTTAATTACGTTCTCTGCGTTCATCTTTTGGCCGCTTCAGAGATAGCTTTCCGCCCTCTCCCTCTAAATCTCGCTCTCCCAGTCTTTTACACCTGTCGTTCGCAACAGTAACGTGATTCAGAACGGTTCTGTAGAGAATTCCCGTACTTTGATTCGGTTTTGTGTCTTACTTCACTTTTGGAGGAGGTTCTGGTCGAAATTTGATTTTTGATTTGCCTAGGTGACTCTCTTATTGCCTAATCCTGATATTCAGACTTAGTATTTAAGCATCAAGGTACTTGTTGACCTTGGTTAGAAAATGATGTACATTGGTCTGCCGGGAAGACTTTCCGCTAGATTCGCTTTGAAACGCCCTTTCCTTGCATATTAGTTATATCTACTGCCAAGCGTCTTTTGTATCGGAGCCACCTTTAGTAAATGACAACTTTTTCCATATGTAAATTATGAATCATTTAGTGTATAACAAGTACCTTGGGTATCCGCATAACGGTCGGTGGTATTTTGCTTCCATAATTGTAGGTGAGCTAGTTAAATTCTGTAATGACGGGGACAATGGATTAGCCAATGAAAGGTCTCAGGATTAAATTCTGTAAAATGGTTAATTTTTGACAAATAAAACCTTAGAAAAATAAAGCAACATTTACTATAAGAGATCAAAATTTCAATGTACATCAACAGCCAACCAAATAGTCCAGCAAGAGTCCGCCCACCTTCTCGTTTACTAGCCTGTTCCCCTTCTCTGTTTTGTCCAAACCGATTAAACTAGTAACAACCATCCAGTTGTTCACCCATGAGGTTAGCTCTACATCCAGTTGTTCATCCAGTCATATTAAGATCATAGTCATTACATTCCAGCACAGAGTAATGAATATCTCTTGCATCAACAGCGCTATCTTCAACATGATAGTAATAGATCACACTCTCTCCTTGGATACTGCTCTATAGCTGCCTAGCTCTCCAAAAGTTGAAAATATTGAATGAGACGACAGAGATATTATAAGAGGGGTTTCCTTGTGCAGGGTTTTTGGCTTCAGTACTCAATACCTTTTTGTTAGCTGTAGAAATCCCGTCTCATAGAATACAAAGGTAAATATTTCAGAAGAGTCATACCTCAAGAAAGTAATTTCACTACCAACCTACTACATCCTATTAAATAATACTATTTTAAAATATAAAATCGTCCACTGGAGAAAATTGTATTGAAAATGGGACGATATGAACAGCATGCTTTGAGTAATGCATTTTGGAGTTTGATGGCATACATCTTGGTCTGCTGATAATAAGAATAGGAAAAATTCATTACACTATAGAGATCAAATGCATTACAATTTTCAAAAGAGACGATCAAATCTCAACACTAATTTCAGCAGTAGACACTAAATCCATTTTAATCACTTCTCAGTTCCTCTGTTTTAATGATTCAAGCCTCAAACGTCTACAAGAACTCTTGAGTCGTGGTCACTATTCGGCTGTAACATTACTAAGCAGGCTAGTTTGACATTTTTAAGTAGCGTAAGCAGGTTAGTTTGACATTTTTAAGTAGCTTAAGCAGGTTAGTTTGACATTTTTAAGTAGCTTAAGCAGGTTAGTTTGTCATTTTTAAGTGGCTTCCTAAGATAGGGCAACTGTTTGGTGAAATAGGACCAGCTATCTCCTACGATTACTCGTTCTTGAGACAAAAGTTTTAACTTTTATAGCCATCTATCACCCTTTGCCTGCTCCAAATTTTAAAGGTCATCGTTCTATGTTTCTATTGACAAAGTACACGTATTGATTGCTAAGGTATCAACTAGCCTCATAAGATACGATCATAGGGGACCAACATATCGCATTCAAATGCTAGCTACTTATTTCTAAATTTCTAAATTTACAGCACTGGCCTCGACTAATTGTCTTCTATCACCAGGAACTGACTGGAATACAGCACTTAACCTTACCATGTTGAATTCAAAACTACTTTCATCATGGAATGGTTGCCTTCATTGTAGCTGCTTAAAATTGAGTTTAAAATTAAAAAATTAGTTGTTCATTATTCTTTCCATTTGAATTTTTGATAACTACAACTTGCCGCCGGCGCCAAACAAAATAATCATCATTAATTCACCCATGTGTATTCAAACAAGTCCCAAAGCCAATAACGAGAAAGCACGTCGCCGTCCGTTAGCACACCATCTCGACGCTCTTGAAGAGGGAACCTGCTGCCGTAGCGGGTCTCCTCGTCCAGATAACTGGGACGGTAACCGTTGTTGCAGTTGCGGTCCCTGTACAGGACTGCCTCCTGCACCTCCGTGTACACCAAGTTCATGCTGCTCTAGCAAATAATGAGGTCGAAGCACCCGCAGCCGTTAATGTCCATGCTTCTTCCGCTGCACCCCGGCCCGAAAAACACTGTGAGCGTGTTTGCCTATGCCGGCGGAATCGATGCGGCGGCAAGGAGAAACTGGAGAGCGGCGAGAGCCGCAGGTCTGGTGGTAGTGGCCATGACTTCCTGTTGCTGACGGAGGTACTCCCAGGACGCTGATTCGATTGGGCTTTTAGGTTACGCTGGGCTGGCGTAGTGAAATAGTTTTGTCCCTGCCCGGAGGTTTATTTTGTGGGGGTGCAAAAGGGCCGACACTGCTGAAATAATTCGATCTGCTCAATAACGCCATCGAGAAAGTCCATGGTCCTCGAGACCGGGTTTCCTAATCCCGGTGCATTTGAAATTGTTGCTTTTCTCATATCAGCCCAGCCTGAATTTATTTTAATTGGTTGAGATTTGCTCACGGGCACATGACGACGGTTTCGTCGAACAATTTGTGTTTTTGAGTCGGCGCAATCGGTTATACGCCGGGCGATTTTGACATGATCAACCTTCGTCATGGAAACATATCGTTTCAGAGCAGTCACAACAATAAACTATTGAGGGGACAGGAAGTTTATTCTATTTTGTCAATTTTCCCGAGATGAAACAGGGTACGGACGAAGTTTTAGACGAAGATAGCTATTAAATCTAGAAAAATGACATGGGCGCTATACCAAATGATGTTCTTGTGGTCGAAGATATCTTAGACGAAGATATCTGCTGAGCCTCATTCCCTTCGAATGCCTGCACTAAACAGATTTCGACAGGTTCTCTCTCCGAATCGAGGAAGTCCACGGCCCCTTAAAGTTAGATCGTTGTATGATCTTAACATACAGAGCAAGATAATATATACTGTTTAACAACGTATCTGACTGGCATAACCATCTATTTTTCACATTCGAATACTGCGGTAGGTTAGCTACACTGTCTCTTTCGTCTTTCACGAATCTATTGTTGCGGACATCTCATGTAACTCGACGAAGAGAGTATCTGAGAATGGTCTCCCTAATCCATCTCAGTTACAACCCAAACTCATATTTGTCAGAGTACAGGCCTTCCCAACCACCGATGTAATTTCCGTTTTCACATTTGAAGTGTTAGCTCCGGTTAATGGAAAGCACCAGGAAATAGATCAATAACATGAATAGCGGGCATAACATTTCTACGTATAGAGTGATATGATTATTTACCTGGGCGCATCGAAAATTTTGACCATAAGCTTGCGGGTCGTAGAAATACGACACGAGTACAAAGCTCTCAGCCTAAATCAGGAATAAAAGACTTCTTTACATTTAGTCCTTTTCATCTTCATCAGCCAAGTTCTTACCTCAAATATTCTCCGGAACCTATATTTTATATCTAACGCTACGCGAACACGCAGATCGATTACGGTTATTTTCACCATATCAAAGAAGTTCTGTCTTTTCGGCTCCTTTGACATTCATACGAAACAAGGTCTAAACATTCCTCCGGCGCAGCACAGGTGGAATTGTATTTGGAACTTATGACCATTAAACAAGTTTCGGTATGACACTATCCTCCCGCGAGTTATTTATCCTTTACAAGTACACATCGTCCAGCCGGTATACAATGAAGTAACCGGCCGTTTATTCACCCATTATTCATCCAACAATTTAGGAATAAGCGAAAGGGAGCACGTGGCCGTCCCCATGTTAGCACACCATCTCCACGCTCCTGAAGGGGAACCTGCGGCAGTAACGGGTCTCCTCATCCAGAAACTTAGTGCGGTAGCTGTTCCTGCAGTGGCGGTCCGTGTATAGAACGGCCTCCTGCTCCTCCGTGAAAACGAAGTGGAAGCCGCTCTGGTAGCCGGTGAGGTCGAAACAGCCGCAGCCGTTAATGTCCTTGCTCCGTCCGCTGCATCCTGGCCCGGAGAAGACGGTGAGAGTGCTCGCCGATGCCGGCGCAATTAATGCGACGGCAAGGAGAACCAGTAGAGCGGCGGCGGTCGCGGGCTTCCCTGTGGTGGCCATGACTTGCGGTTGCTGACGAAGGTGCTCTTGGGAAGCTGATTCGCTCAGAGGTTGGGGTTGTGATGGGCTGGAATAGTGAAGAGCTCTTGTCCATGCGCGGAGGTTAATTTATAGGAGTAGAAAGGGCAGACGCGGTACTGAAATAATGCTGTGGATTGACTAACGCCACCTAGAAAACCCGTGGGTTTTCGAGACTCGGATTCTGAGTCAGTGGTGTTACAATATACTAACCGTTTCCCTGCGCGCTGGTCGCATTGACATCTTTCTATTTATTGAACGAATCCTTTCTTCTGACGGATACGGTAGTCTCCAGGCTGTCAGAGTTTGACCTGGTCGATCTTGATGAAGATAGATCAAAATGAGTATTCAACAGATAAGGAAGTCTACGCAGTTTCGTCTAGTTTTCCGATATTATAGCAGGTGTTGGCGAAACCAATGAACTGTTGATCGGCGGAGTTGGAACGCGTAGTTCGTCGCTGTCGAATTCTATTCCTTTGGAAAGCGGTCTTTTAAATAACTTCAGTCTTATCTTGTATAAACGCGCAAGCCCATAGCGGCTATAGGGTAGCTCACAGTATTGCATTATTATCGTCCGTCAAGTACGGTGGGTGGAACACGGCGATAAATAACGCTTACCGGCAAATTTGACTACCGTCACTGACTACGTTTCCTTCTGAAACCCCTTCTCGCCTTGCTGAATTTTCCATTGCTTTTTTCTAATCATGGGATGTTCACATAGTATGTTCACTGGGCGGGTGTTGATACGTGTGGCGATGATCTCAGAATCCATGTCAGTTCAAAGCCTATCTCCTATTTTCGGAGTACAACTGTTCGTCACATTCAGACTGACAGCATTCGTGCGTCGGAATTGTTATGTTCGGTTCGTCTCAGGCAATGAAAAGTTTGGCGCATAGCTAATTACGGTCTCTACGTTCATCTTCCGCCGGGAAAACTTTCCGCTTGACTTGCTATGAAACGTCTTTTTATTTCTTATTAATTATACCTACATGAGAAGCGTCATTTGTATCGGATTTACCTATAGAATTTGACCTCACTTTTTCCATACGTAAATTATGAATCATCTAGTATATAACGAGGTACTTAGGTATGAAACTATCTGCATAATGATCGGTGGTTTTTTGCTTCCTTTCTTTGTAGGTGAGCTAGTTAAAATGATGGGGACCAAGGATTAGCCAATGAAAATAGTAAATTTGTGAAAATAAAACATTAGAAAAATAAACCAACATTGATTATAAGAGATCAAAATTTAAATGTATTTGAACAGCCAACAAATAGTTCAGTAAGAGTCATATTCACCCTTACCCACCTTCTCGTTTACTAACCTTTGCCCCTCTTCTGTTTTGTCCTAACCACTTAAAGGAGTTACAACAATCCCGTTGTTCACTCATGAGCTTAGCTCTGCACACCAGTTAGTCCTCTCAGTTACAACTGTTCAAAATGTGGGACACCATCTCCCTCGATTCAGGTATATGCTCACCTTCTTTGTTCAGTTAAATACTTATTACATCTATATTTAGGCTTGACCTTGTTCTAGGTTTGAAAAAATTAGTCACCTAGTCTGTTTAGCAGAAATTGCTTTGTTTTTCGACCCAGCTTACCCTTCATTTATCCTTATCAAGGAAAAGCTTATGAATGACCACATGGTCCTAATTCAATAGCTGAGCATATTGGAAACATTTGAATTCAACATTAAATCCATGGGTTCTCCAGACTCGGATTCTTACTTGGCCTGCATTAAAAGTTTTTACTTTTTTCATGTTCGCCTTGTTAGTTGGTTGACATCTGCTCAAGGCACATGATGACAGTGTCATTGAGTGATTACTCTATTTGAATGAGCTCAGTCAATTGTTTGCAGGTTTTGATGCAGTCACCCTTTGTCAAGGGAACCCATCTTTTGAGGACCATTAGAACAATACAATATGGATACGAAAGTGGCATATGTCATTTGAGGCAGTGCTTTAGGTGAAAATATCTATTAATACAGAAATGATATGGACTGTAGGAAATAATGTAGTGGTTGGATAAGAAGGAATTTGCTTAAGTATCTTCATAGAAAAAAGTTTTGTTGGGCCTCCTGCCTTTTCAAATGACTCAGTATGAACTTTTCATTGACGAAGCTCTCTCAAACGCATAAGTGCATAGCGTCATAAGGAAGCTCGTTGTGTGATATTAATACAGAGAACAAGATGATTGTAGGAATAAATATGTAAGCACAAGCTCACAATAATAATAGAAACTCTTTTTAGATATCAATGAGAATAAATATAAGATAAATCATCAAGTTATCAAGAATCCTAATAAGAATAAGACTTCCACCAAACACCTCTAATCCACATCTCAACACCCTCAAGATGACCCACATACTAAAGAGTCAGCAATAGATTCTTATTTCTTTCTATAAGACTTCACCTATAATAGAAGAGAGAGAAGAGAATAAGAAAGAGAAAGAAAGTTGATGAAGAGAGAAAAATCTTATTATTCGTCGTATTAAAAAAAGAGAAAATACATGCTTTATTTATAGAAAATAGGAAAAGATAACTGCTCCCTAAAAAGAGGCATCTCAATCTACATGCAAGTGAGCCCACACATCTCAAAAGAGATGGCTTCAACCTCTCTCATTTCTCGCTCTCTCTATCCCTACATGACTACCGAACAAGTCAAAAGGGATAAGGTGACAATCGTCTCTCTCCTTGCATGACCCCTAATTGAGTCAAATGGGATGAGTGACAATTGTATCAACACCCCTCACTCCTTGCACATCTCTCAAGTGAGTCCGATGAGAGAGGGTCTTTCACACATCTCCTGAATGGTTGAGATGGGAGGAGGCTCCTCACACATCTCCTGAATGGTTGAGATGGGAGGAGGCTCCTCACACATCTCCCGAATGGGTTAGTCATAATGGACTGACACCACCAACAAACTCAACCTTGACAGCCATCATCACTACACTTGTAGTCAATGTCCGTCCATATTTTAAGTTCTCTACATTCTGCAATATACATACATTATGAATCAAATTCAAATAATATTTGAACTTCTTTATTGTGACGACCTTCATCAACCCTCTATGGTATTTTCCTTCATATGAACTTTCTCTAGAAAGATATCTCTATAATTTGCCAACTCATAAATCTTATGATACCACACATCAATATGTTTTGACTATGCATGATAAATTTGATTCTTTGTCAAATAAATAACACTGTAACTATCACAATGTAGAGGAACTTCACCTTGTTGGATCCCAAATTCGTTCAACAATCTCTTTAAGCACAAGGCCTATTTGGTTGCTTTAGTAGCTGCCATATACTCTACCTCAATTGTAGACAATGCGATAGTAATATGAAGTGTTAAATAGACTTTCAACTCACTGATCCACCAACCATGGTAAAAATATATCATTTTGTAAATCTTCAATGATCGAAATCTCTAACAAAATCTACATTAACAAAGTTAATAATAGAAAGAGAATTTTTCTGGTCAAAATGGATTCTAAAATCTAAAGAACCTTTTAGATATCAGAGAATATACATCACTATGCTCCAAAATGTTTTTCCTAGATTACTCATAAGCTTGCTAACAAGTTCAACTACATGAGTAATATCTGGTCTTGTACAGACCATATTATATATGAGAGAGTCAACCACACTAGCATAAGAAATTTACTTCATCTCAACAACATCTTTCTTACATGTTGGACACTAAGTAGTAGATAATTTGAAATGACTAACCAAATGAGTGCCCATTATTTTACAATTACTCATGTCAAATAAATTCATCACCTTCAAGAGATAACTCCTCTAAGTCAATCATAGTTGACCTAACTCCCAATCTCTATAAATTTCCATACTAAAAATCTTCTTCACCACACCAAGATTTTTCTTACCAAATTCTCTATTCAATAGTATCTTCAATCTAGCAATTTTCTATAAATATTTCAAAGTAATAAATGTATCATCAATATAGAGTATTAAAATAATAAGAGAATCATTATCACAAATCTTCATATAAATACAATAGTCAAAATCACACCTCGTATAGTCAATCTTTAATATGTAAGACTCAAAATTCTTATACCACTACCATAATATATGCTTTAACTCATAATAAAACCCTCTAGTTATTACATGTAAATAGTTTTCTCTAAATCTCTATAAAGGAACACTATCCTCATATCTAGTTACTCAAACTCCATATCTTCATATGTGACAATGGCTAACACCAAACGAGTAGACGTGTGCTTCAGAATAGGTGAAAAAATCTATGTATAATCAATTCTCTATTTTTGTGTAAAGTCTTTTGTAACAAACTTTGTCTTATATTGTGGCTGGTCACTATTAATCATTGGTAACTTCTTCTTGTACACTTACTTATACTCAATAGCTCACTTTTTTACAAGAAGATCTACCATTTCTCATGTGTGGTTCTTGTTTAAAGATGGTTGCTCCTCAAACATTACTTGCAATCACTTCTTTTTCAAGATAATTAATTACCTTTTGAAAAAGTTATGGGCTCGTTGTCTCCTATAAATAATGCAAAGATAATATAATCATTAGGATGAGTAGGAGGCTTTACTTGATGTCTACTCATCTAGTAGTAATACAATCAAAAATATTTTCTGATTTTACAACTTGATCTTTATTCAAAATAAAATTAAAAGAACTCTACACACTCTTTACCTCCAGTCATGCTCTATCTTCAACATAAATCTTATCAAATTCTTGAACCATGTGCTTTATAAAAAAAGACTTCAACATGTGATCCTCATTAAAGACCAAATCTTTACTGAAAATAACCTTCTTTGCCTCTAGATCCTAAAGTCAATATCCTTTCACGCTAGTACTATTGTCCTAGAAAATATATTTCTTTAACTTTAAATTCAGCTTCGATCTCTCATCAAGAATTGTAATAACATATCCTAAATGTCTACATATATACAAATTCAAATAGCTAACAAAATTTTCGGTCCACACATCTTCAGCCACCTTCCCATTAATAGTGAAATTTGATGATCTCTTTATCAAATAAGCTGCCATACTCACAGCTTCTGTCCAAAACTCTTTAGACAAGTTGGCATTTAGCTATAAACACTATGCTTTCTCAAAAATCATGCAATTCATTCATTGAAAAATATTATCTACTATAGAGTCTTCTTCACTATATAATGACGTTGAATATCATACTTATTAGAAAACTAATCAAATTCAAAATTCTTCAATTCTATACTATTGTTAGTTTGCAAGACTTTAGTCTTCTTCTTCGTCTAGTCTTCCACCTTCGCACACTAAGTCTTGAATTACACAAATACTTTTGATTTGTGCTTCAAGAAGAATACCTAGACTTTCTTAGAAAAATTAGCAACAAACATCAAAAAATAATAAGCACCACTCATCGACATCACATCAAGCAAACCACACACATCTAAATGAATATAATCCAGCACAACATCCATCTCATACTTTGTTGTCTTGAATGTCACCTTGTATTATTTTTCTATGACATAATACTTATAAAAATCTAATTTATAAGTTTTCACACTAGGCAGTAGTCCTTGTGCATGTAGCTTCTACATATGTATTTCACTCATATGACCCAATCATAAGTGTCATAAAAGAGTATCATCAATCGTGAAATCATTTGGTGTCACAATACAAGCTCCACCTACAATAGTACTCCCCTCAAGTTTATAAATATTTACTTGTTGATGTTTTCCCTTCATCACAATGTATGATCCTTTGATAATCTTGAAGATTTCATTTTCACCTTTAAAACAACATTCATGCACATCTAATACTACAAGTAAAATCAAATTCTAGTGTAATATTGGAACATAACAAATATTTCTAATTTCTTGGACCACTTTGTCAAACATCTGAACCTTTATCGAATCAATGACAATAACTTTCCAATCTATATTATTTCTTATAGAAATAACTCCTATTTGATTTTTCATCAATATATAAATTTTTTATAGCCCATAATGTTTTATGCTCTATTTTCATAAGAAGATGACATGGCTTTTCAAAAATGAGATGAAATGGGGACATACCTATGGGATTTTTATTAGTTGTTCTATAAGCCGATAATACATCTTGTAATTTTGTGGGCTAATCTTTCCTATCTAGTCTAACTATTTTTCTCAAAATTATCTGAATTTCCTTATTTGCTACTTCAACTTGTCCATTTATTTGGGGATGATATAGAGTGACTATTCTATAGTGTACTCCATTCTTCTTCAATAGTTTCTTAAAATATTTATTTGTTAAATGTGTTCCTCCATCACTAATAATCACTTTAGGACATCGAAATCTTGAAAAAATATTTTCTTTCACAAATTTCATCACGATTTTATGATCATTAGTTCAATAAGACACATAATCAATAGCAAGCAAAATATATTCATATTTTTTAGTTGATGGGAAGAGACCCATAAAATCTATTTCTCATATATCAAAAATTTCAGCTACTAACATGTTACACATGGGCATTTCATTTTTTTACTCATGTTACCTATAGATTAACATGAAATACATGTTCTACTAAATTTTATAGAATCTCTAATGATTGTAGACCAATATAAATTACATTAAAAAAAAATTATAGTTGTTTTTCATCTAAAGAAATGTCCTCCACAAATTGATGACTGACACATGTTAAGAATGCTATGATATTCTTCTCCAAGAACACATCTCCCTAAAATTTGATAATTTCTCAAGTAATATAAATCAGGATCATACTAAAAATAATTTTTTTTGTTCTTATCCCACTTTCTAGAATTTTGTTTCGAAACTAGAAAATTAACAATATGTGCATACTATGATGATAGTTGATGTTGAGCTGCCATCAATTGTTCATTTGGAAATACATCTTATAAAGGTGTTGCATTTATTCTTGTATCCCTCAATCTAGAAAAATGGTTAATAAGTTTTCATTATCATGAGTTAATAATTAATAAATAATATAGTTTTAGCTTTAACTCATGATAAATAGACTTATATTTGTGTTAAATTGTGAAAAATAGTTTCCAATTGATTAACGTGAATTTTTGGCTAATTATATGATTTTCTATGAATTTATACGATTTTATAGTCCTATTTTTTAGATAAATGAAGAAAACAAAATTAAAATAAAAATATAGCAAAAGGGGGGGGCCCACTAGCTAATCAGTCCCGCAAGCAGGTCGAAAGTGTAGTCGGGGGGAGTCGTGAGCAAGGGCTCGAGCACCTAAAGACTGATGAGGGCATGTGTGCGCCACTCTCCTTCCACGTCACCAATGGCTAGCTAGCTGTGGGACAAAGAGTGGTCATACATGTAGGAGAAAGGGACTCATTACTTGCAAATGTAATATTACTATATATTCACCCAAAACTTCAACACACAAGCGATGTGGGACTAGACCCACGTCACAATTTTCTTTGAAAGGCTTTAAATATTTTAATACCTAAACTACCCCTTAATTATGATAGAAATATACTATGATGACGTCACCTAATCAGAGAATTAGAGTCCTTATTTTAATCTCTCTCATGTAGATGAACAACAAGCACAAGTTTGAATCCTCCTAAAGCCAAAACTTGTATTTTTATCTGATTATTGTGACTTTCCTACAAATCGCCGGTGAAGAATTAAGTCGCTAAAATCGCTTGATCATCGGCGAAAATTTCATCAACATAATTCACAAACTCTATTTCCGCTCGATTTGCATTCGTCAAGCACTAATGTCATCCTAACATTCGCACCCTTATTTTCCTTTTTTGTGAATTTTAAATATATTTCATTTTAATTTCTTAATAGAAAATTCATAAAGTATTATATTATTTCAAGAAAATTCTAAAAATTTATCTGATATTATATTACATCTCTATGATCGACTTGGAAAATTACCACTATTTGTAAAAGTTTTATTGAAATATAATTGATATATTTGCTTTAAAATACTTCTAAATATCTGAAAAAATATATTTTCTAGTTTTATAAATTTTAAATTTACGTGATTTACTATACAACGACTAAATCACGTCAATAGTTAGTAACAAGATTATCAAAACCTTTTTTATCTTTTCTTTTTAAGTCAAATTCTTGCAACAATAAAATCCATCTTAATAAACGTGACTTTACATCTTTGTTATTTAACAAATATTTTAATGCTGTATGATCAATATAAATAATAATTTTAGCTCCCAAAAAATATGATGTAAACCTTCCTAATGAAAACACTACAACTTCAACTATTTTTCAGTCGTGCTATAATTTAATTGAGCATTGGATATAATTTTGCTAGCATATGAAATTACTATGGGTTTTGACTCTTTTTTTTGTCCTAGAATGGTCCTACTACATAATTCGATGCATCACACATTATTTCAATGGGAAGAGATCAACTAAGAGCTTGTCAAATGAGTGCCTCATTAAGTAATCTTTTTATTTCAGAAAAAGACTCAAAACATTTCTCATCAAAATTAAAAGGCACATCTTTAAATAATAACATGGTGAGAGGTTTAGAAATTTTCTAAAAATCTTGAATAAATTTTTTATAAAAACCTGCATGACTCAAGAAAGATCTGATCTATTTTATTGAATCCAGAAGTTTCAGTTTAGATATAATATCAATTTTTGTTCTATCTACCTCTAAACTAGTTTCAGTTACAATATGACCCAACACAACTCCCTCTCTAACTATAAAATGTGATTTCTCCTAACTCAAAATTAATTTTTTCTTTATACATTTCTTAAGTACATGTTGTAAGTGATTTAAGTATTTTTCAAATGATTCATCAAAAATAAAAAAATCATCCATAAATTTTTCAATCATATAAAAAAAAGAGACAACATACATCTTTGAAATGTGGTTGGAGTATTACACAGACCAAAAGATATGCATTTAAAAACAAAAGTACCAAATGAACAAGTGAAAGTTATTTTTTTTTGATCTAAAAGCTTTCTATAAATTTGATTATAACTAGAGTATCCATCTATAAAAATAAAAAAAGTTTTTTCTAGTTAATTTTTCTAGAATTTAGTTAGTAAATGGTAGGAGAAAATGATCTTTTCTAGTAACTGAATTTAATATTCTATAATCAATATAAACCCTCCAACCGATAGTTAATCTTGTTTGTATTTTATCCCTATTTTTTTTTATAACTGTGATCTCTAATTTTTTTGGCATCACATGTGTAGGAGTAACCCATTTGCTATTTGAAATAGGATAAATAATAGTAGTAGTTAGTCACTTTAAATTTGATTTTTTTATAATTTTCATTGTGTTAGGATTTAATCTTCGTTGTGGTTCTGTACTAGTTCTAACCCCCCCCTCTAGATATATACTATGTATGCATACACTAACATCAATGCCCCTAAGATCATTCATTTTTCAGCTAATAGCCTTTTTATTTTTTTGAAGTACATCTAATAATTATTCTTCATGTTCATCACTCAAATTAGCTGCAATAATAACAAGAAATGAATTATTTTTCTCCAAAAACATATATTTTAAACTAGAAGGAAGAGGTTCAACTCTAAATTCACATGATCTTCCTTTTTCTTTTCTCTCAAATTTATATTCTCTATTTCCTCTAATTCTTCCAACACATAGTCATCAATAACATCTCGATCATCAAAATCATCTAAAACATTTATGGTATGACAATAATATATTTAAGATTTCTTAAGATCATTTGATACCTCAAAAATTTTAATTTCTATTGATTGATCTCCACATGAAATTTTTGCAATACTTCTGAAAAAATCAACATTCATCTTTGCTGTATGCAAAAATGATCTCTCTAGAATGATTGGTGTATCATAAAAATGTCCATTAAAATCTATTTTCAGCACTACAAAATCAACTAGAATTTACACCTTTTAACTACCATTATTACATTTTTTTAAATACCTTTACGATCTTTTATAGATCTATCAATAAATTGTAAGGTAACAGTAAAAGATTTAAGATCAACAATATTAAATTTATCACAAATGCTTGTAGGTAATAAATTAATACTAACACTGGTATCAAGTAATGCATTTTGAAAAATAAATCCATTAAGATCATATGAAATTAAAGGGGTACTAGTATTTCTCAATTTATATGATAATTAATTTAATAATAAAGCACTAACATGGATAGATAATTTTTCTACTCTAAGTGTTTTTTTTGGTGTACACATTTCTTTTAAAACTTTAGCATATTCAGGAATATATTCAATGGCAGTGAGTAAAGAAAGACTAATTTGCGCATCTTATAAAATTTTCTTTATTTCTTCATTGTGTTCCTTTTTCTTTCTTTGTCTAGGCTCTAGAGCTTTAAGAAATAGAATGATTGTCCTCTCTTTTGGAATTTCTTTAGTAGAATCTATAAAATCCTCTTCTACTCCTATTTGATTTTATTTTGGGCTGTTCATGTTTTCCTTTTCTTCTAATATTTGGGGATAAGGATTAGGTAAAATCTTTCCACTCCTTTTCATAGCATCAGGTTAAGTTTGTTACATCATTTTCATAGCATCAGGTTAAGTTTGAGAGGGTTGATTTTTCCAAGATCTGTTTTCCTATGTTGGACAAAATTCAGAGTTTGAATTGGGTTTAAGTGTTTCTAGGTTTTGAATATTATTTGGGTCTCTCCACTAAAAATTATTTGTCTAATTAAGATTATAAGAATTAGAAAAAAGCTCTGTATTTTGATTAAAGCTGTGGGCTACTTGCACTTGTTCTTGTATAGGGTTAAATGATTAATTTAAATTATAGCATTGAAATTCAGAATAATCATTTTCATCATATATAAGATAGGTACTATTTGAAGTAAATTGAGGGTTAAGAGGCTTTCTAATATTGTCAATAAGTAAATCAAGTTTTTCTAATCTTTAATTAATCTGATTAACCTCATTTCTTAAATTAGAATTATTTTGATGACAATATTTATAAATTTCTTTCTTTTTATCCGAGTCATATAACTCAAAAGAAGCTTGATCTCTAGAATTTTTACTTAAATTCTCATAAAGGTTGTAAATCTCATCAAAAGTTTTCTCCATAAAAGTTACTCCACATATAGAATCAACCATATTTTTATGTTGTTCTAATAATTTATCATAAAAAATTCTATTGAGCTGCCACTTGGGTATAGCATAATGAGGACACTTTCTAAGTAAATTTTTGAATTTTCTTATGTCTCATGCAAAGTTTCTCCTGATCTTAGAGAAAAACTCTATATATGTTTTCTCATATTTTGAGTTTTTTTTAATGGATAAAATTTTCAAATAAATGCCTATTCTATGTCTCTCTAACTAATTAATTCTCTATCTAATGTGGATAGTCAATAATTAACTTTGTCTCTAAGTTTATGAGAAAATAATTTCATCTTAATAATTTTTAGTGTAACCTGAGGGAGATTAACTAAATTATAGATCATATGAAATTTTTCTAAATGCTGATAAGGTTCCTCTAAAGGCAATCTATAAAAATTAAGGTACATTTGAAAAATTCTTGGATTTATTTCGAATTGAACAGTGGGTGTTAACGGGACTCTAGTATTGGATGCTCTTTGAAATAAATCAAGGATATAATGATTTTCATGGCCATAGGATTATTCTTAGTTTGACTTATACTTCCTTCAAGATCCATAAAAATTAATTTTTCTTTTGGATTTTTAGTTCTGAATGAAATAGTAAAAGGATTTTCTAGCCTTGGATGTAAGGATCTTCTACCATGCATTAAAAACAATAAAATTGAGAAAAATAGTTTAATAATTGTTACCCTCCTTCATTATGCTCTAGTCCTTGCCTTGCTGCTTTTCGTTCTTTTTTTTTTCCTACAAGAAGAAAATAAAAGCAAGAGTTAAATTTTTTTATGTACTCTAAGAGAGAAACAGAAAAATATCAAATATTATGTAATACATCGCAGAAACGACACCAAAATTTTCTGTGACTTAGTCATTGTATAGTAAATTACGCGAAACCACACTTTTTGTCCAACATCAAAAACTTTTCTGCTAATGCATTTATCATGAAAAGTTTTAATTTTTTTTATATATTCTATGATTTTCATAAGCTTCATTCCTCAACTCCTTTAGTTCTTGTAACTGAAAAATTCTATGCTCATCAGCTGATTTTTCATTCATACATAATTTTTTTATAGCCCATAATGCTTTATGCTCTATTTCCACAAGAAGATGACATAGCTTTCCAAAAATGAGACAGAATGGAGACATACTTATGGGATTTTTATAAGCCGTTCTATAAGCCCATAATACATCTTGTAATTTTGTGGGTTAATCTTTCCTATTTAGTCTAATTATTTTTCTCAAAATTCTCTAAATTTTCATATTTGCTACTTCACTTGCCCATTTGTTTGGGGATGATATGGAGTGGCTACTCTATGGTGTTCTCCATTCTTTTTCAACAATTCCTTAAAATGTTTATTTATAAAATGTGTTCCTCCATCACTAATAATCACTATAGGACATCAAAATCTCGAAAAATATTTTCTTACACAAATATTATCATGATTTTATGATCATTAGTTTTAGTAGGAATAGCTTCCATCTACTTAGAGACATAATCAACAACAAGCAAAATATATTCATATTTTTCAGTTGAGGGGAAGGGACCCATGAAGTTTATACCCCATACATCAAAAAATTCAACTACTAATATGTTACTCATGGGTATTTCATCTTTTTTACTCATGTTACCTATAGATTCGCATGAAATACATGTTCTACTAAATTCTATAGAATCTTTAATGATTATAGGTGATAAGTTTTCATTATCATGAATTAATAATTAGTAAATAATATAGTTTTACCCTTAACTCATGATAAATTGACTTATATTTGTGTTAAAGTGTGAAAAGTGGTTTTCAGTTCGTTAAGGTGAATTTTTGGGTAATTATCTGATTTTATACAAATTTATATGATTTTTACAGCCTTAATTTTGAGATAAATGAAGAAAAAGAAATAAAAATAAAAATATAGCAAAATGGGGGGGACCCACTGGCCAGCCGGGCCCGCAAGTGGGTCGGAAGTGCAGTCGGGGAGGAGCCGCAAGCAGGGGCTTGAGTGGCTAGGACCGATAGGGGCACGTGTGTGCCACTCCCCTTCCACATCACTAGTGGCCAGCCGACTGTGGGGCAAAGAGTGGTTGTACACACATAAGAAAGGGACTTGATCGGAAATATAATATTACTATATATTCGCCAGAAACTTCGGCACACAAGCGATGTTGGACTAAACTCGTGTCACACCTTCCCCAGAAAGGGCGAGCAACTAGCACAGGTTTGAATCCTCCTAGAGCCAAAACTCATATTTTTTTATCTGATTACCACAACTTTCTTGCAGATCGCCGATGAAGGATTAAGCAACCAGAATTGCTGAATCATTGCCAAAAATCTCATCAATGCAATTTGCGGATCATTGTTACTAAAATTGTTGAACAATTTATAATAAAAGGATCGTGAATCCATCAAGTAAAACATCTCTGATTGATCGACGAACAAGCCGTCGTCGAGAAGAGAACGATCCATTAGGAGATGAGTTGCCACCTCTTGAGAGCATATTGGATGCAATGAAGAGCCTCTTCTTGCTGCACGGACCTAAAGATGAAGCTCTCTAACAGGTGCCCCACCTCTATCCAACTACTCTCTGTTGGGTGACAGTCACCGGAGAATTGTAAAGTTGCCGTTTTTTTGCTTTGTCAGGTGACAGCCACTAGAGATGATTCGATGACCCATTTCATTGATCTGTAGACTTCGCAAGGAGATCTAGAGATTTCCCACATCGTCCTTGTCCAAGGAGAGCCTTTGAGGCCATCAACACTGCACGACGATCCTCCCAAATGCTTAGGATTCTAGTGCATCTCTGACGCATCACCGCCATGACGCTAGAACTCTATTTTCATGCTTTCAATTTAATTTTTGCTTCATTTAGTGATAATTTATTAATTTTAAATTTACCAAGATATATTTCATTCTAATACGATTCTTCCGTCTTTTACAAATCTTAATTTGATCAATTAAATCATCTATAATCGCTTACGTAAGAATCGTCAAATGGAACTCTATTTCCACCCGATTCACGTTCACCGGGTGCTGACACCATCTTGACATCCGCACCCTTATTTCCCTTTTTCGTAAATTTTAAATACATTTAATTTTCATTTCCTACTATAAAATTCATAGAAAATAGTATTCTTTGACAAAAATTCTAAATAATTACCAGATATTATATTAAATTTCTGTGATCGACTTGAAAAATTACTGCTATTTTTAGAAGTTTTATTGAATTATAATTGATATATTTGTTCAAAAATACTTCTAAATATCCAAAAATTCATATTTTCTAGTTTTATAAATTTTAAATATGCGTGATTTACTATACAACGACTAAGTCATGTCAATAGGTCAATAAAAACCACACTGAATATTTTTTGCAGTTGTTTTTCATCTAGAGAAATATCCTCCATAGTTAGATGAATGGCACATGTTAAGAATGCTATGATATTCTTCTTCAAGAACACATCTCCTTAAAATTTGATTATTGCCCAAGTAATATAAATCACGATCATGCCAAGAATAATTTATAATCTTAGAAAAGAAATGATTTTTTTTGTTCTTTTCTCACTTTTCTGAAATTTTTTCAGAAACTAGAAAATTGACAATATATGCATACAATGGTGATGGTTGATGTTGAGCTGCAACTTTTCATCGAAGTAGCAAATTTAATTTGACTCATAACACACAAAGGTATAGAGGTCACCCTTCTAATGGAGCTAATTTTTTCATTAGGACAATCTTTCTTAAAGTGATTAGGTTTCCGATAGAAGAGGCATTTTCTATTCTTCATGACCGTTTTAAAGCCTTTACTTCTTCTTTGACCCTATTCACTTTTCCACATCTTTACTGAATGGTCATAATAGCATTCTTCATTTTTTCTTCCTTGAGCACATTTTTTTCATTTTGCCTAATGCTGGACGAATCAAGTTGGAATATAAGTAAAAAGTCTATGATTAAGTAATTAATATAATTCTATGATTCATCACGAAAATCAATCTGAAAGATAAGTAAAAAGTCAAATGTGTACGATATGCTAAATGAATGATTTTTTAGCATGCTGTTACCAAGAAGCAACCACTAGATTAGAATCCTGGGAGAGTTCTGATGTTTCAAAAATGTAAGGAAGATTTTGAAGGGAATGGTATTCGTGAGAGAAGATAGAGTAGAAATACATCTTCACAAAGACAAGTTCAAGGTAAATCATAGGTCAATTAAATTAAAGCAATAAATGAAAGTAGCATATATCTGTGTGGGAGAGTTCTTGCTAGAAGGAGAGGGCACCACATGTTTCTGACTTTGTTGAGCTTGTGTATATCTGTGTGGGACACACTAGGCCACCGGCCGGTGAAAAGGGGTAAAGACTGGTATGCCTGAGTACATTGGTAGGCACACCAATGGCATGGCACGTAGGTGAAAGGGGCTGGATAGACACAGCCATACAAGGGGGGACCAAGTAGTGGCAAGTCAAGTAAAGCATTATCAGATTGACATACATGGGAGACAAGGCTTGGTGGCAAAATTTCTTTTCAACAGCACCCATGAAGTCCATAGTCAACTTGCAATAGAGAATCACACCCCTAATATTTTACAGAATATTGGACTACAAAAACATGTAACTTCACTGGTTCTCTCTATTCAAGAAAATCTCTTTGATGTTGAGCATTATTCATGGAATCAGAAAAATAACAACAAACTTTCTTGTCAAATAGCTATACAAAAGCATGTTTGTACCACAATCTTAATCCAAACATGAATAATTATCCTTTCAATTTTTTAATGAAAATATCACATCACCATGATGCATGTTGTGACCATAGAAGTATAACATACAACAAAATTTTAATCATACCAAATATTCAAGGTAGAAATTCTATGCTTATTGTTAGCTATAATAAATTTAGGTAAACCTGTTAAGAAACTGCACGAAGATCTTGTTCACCAAGGTTCAGAATATGGTGAGCAAATTGGTGAGTTCAAATGGCACTATTATGAAATCATAGAATTCATGTTGTGTGATGTACATTATCTTGCCCTTCAGGATTTGAACTTCATGATACCTGCTCTTTAGATCCATTGAATAGAATTACTTGGAGCTGTGGAGCTATTTGAAGAGCTCCTGCAAATTAGGCATCATGTACTTGTTACTTACAATATTGTTTATAACTTTGCAGTTTATGCGTAGCTAAACTAATCCATTTTCTTTCTTTTGAATATGATTGGTACCATAAGACACTTTGGAGGATCAAATTTTCTCTGCTTAATTTGAATTGTTGCTGAGAGACATCTTATAGGAGTTGCATATTGATGGTCACATACCCAACATGAGGTCTATCTTGTGGTGGTAGTCATAAAGACAAGGTGTTTGGTATGACGTCCTTAAGTTCATGAAGGATTTGACCAACTTCTACAAAGAGTTGGTTTTGTGCATGTACCTATTACTTACAATATTTTTTATGGCTTTGCAATCTATGCGTAGCTAAACTAATCTATTTTCTTTCTTTTGAATATGATTGGTGTGCCATAAGACAGACACCTTGGAGGATCAAATATTCCCAGCCTAATTTGAGTTGTTGCTGAGGGACAATTCATGTAATTGTTGCTGATGGACATCTTATAGGAGCTGTATATGATGGTCACATACCCAACACGGGGTCTATCTTGTGGTGGTAGCCATAGAGACAATGTGTTTGGTATGAAGTCCTTAAGTTCTTGAAGGATTTGACCAACTTCTACAAAGAGTTGGTTTTGTGCATTGGTGCCTCTTAGTTTGCACACCACCACTATGCTAAATGCCTCAGCTTTGGTGCCCACTAGGCTTGCTCTTAACTGTGCACCCATGTGTGCACTCACTTGTGTGTGCCTCACGTGTGCCTCCACCTATGCAAGTGCCCCAGGTGGTTGCACCATGCTGCACACGTTAACATTGGTCATGTGCCTGACACGATCTAGTCGTGTCAAATATGCAGCTCATTCCATGTTGTTCCTCCCACATTACTGCTCCCCACTGCTTGCCACATGCAGCTCTCTCATGCATGTGCTTTCAGTGCTGCTGCCCCAAGGCACATGCACTGTGCCTCCCACACTAGCGCTCCCCCACACACGCTCAACATGTGCACCATCTTGCTATTGACGATGCTTTGTCCTACTTGTGTGCCAATGGCATATTGTGTCGTACCAGCAGTTTCTAGGTTCCAATTGGGTCTGACCGTGCACAAGGAGAAGTTCGCCGCTTTGTTTCACATTTGTCCGCATGCTTGTCATGTGTTGCCGCACCATGTTGCTGGCATGCCATGTCGCCACAGCAGTCCACTGGTGCATACAGCGAGTTTAGACTTGCTATGGTCCTTAGGCCAAAACTTTGTCAAGTGGAACTAGAGGCGTGACACATTGGAATGGCATGAGGCTCAGTAGATATCCTTGTCCATATCATTTTTCTATATTTATAGATCTCTGTAGAAAAAGATATGCAAGTATAGGATCATAATAACAATGGGAACTCAATTTCAGGATATTAATGAGAACAAATAGAAAAAAAATCATGAAGCTATCAAGAATCCTAATGAGAACAAGACTTCCACTAAACACCTCTAATTCACATCTTAATGCCCTCGAGATAACTCACACATTGGAGAGTCAACAATATACTCTTATCTCTTTCTATAATGATTTCACCTGTAATAAAAGAGAGAGAAGATACCAAGAAAAAAAATAGAGTTGATGGAGAGAGAGAATAGAATCAAGAGATAAAGAGAGAATTCATCATCCGTCGTACTCAAAAAAGGAGAAATACATGCTCGATTTATAGGAAATAAGAAAAGATAACCATTTCTTAAAAGGAGGTATCTCGATCTACATGCAGCTGAGCCCACACATCTTGGAGGTGATGACGACAATCACCCTCATTCTCTCTCCGCATGGCCCCTGAATGGGTCAAAAGGGTTGATGTGACTACCATGTCACCACCCTCTTACTCCTCGCATGCCTCTTGAGTGAGTCAGATGGGTAAGCTCTCTCTCACGTCTCCCAAATGGTTGAAATGGAAGAGATTTTCTTGCACATCTCTTGAATAAGTCAATTGAGATGAACTAACATTGTCAACAAACTCTACCTTGGCAGCCATCATCAATGCATTTGAAGTTGAGGTCCGTCCATGTTACAAGTTTTCTACCTTCTATAAGGTACCTACAACATGAATCAAATTCAAACAATATTTGAACTTCTTTGATATGATGAACTTTGTCAACATATCTGCAGCATTCTCTTTTGTGAGAACCTTCTCTAGAAAGATATCTCTAAAGTTTATCAACTCATAGTTCTTGTGATACCTCACATCAATATGCTTTGATCGTGTATGATAGACTTAATTCTTTGCTAAGTAAATAGCACTCTAATTGTCACAATACAGAGGAACTTTACCCTATCAAATCCCAAGTTTGCTCAATAATTCCTTCAACCACAAGACCTCTTTGGCCACTTCAATAGCTACCATATACTTGCCTCAGTCGTAGATAATATAATAGTAATTTGAAGTGCAGACTTCCAATTGATGGGTTCACTAACCATAGTAGAAACATATCCTGTTGTAGATCTTCAATGATCTAAATCTTTGACAAAATTTTTATCAACAAAGTTAACAGTAGAAAAAAAATTTGCCAATCAAAATAGATTCCAAATATCTAAAGAACCTTTTAGATATAAAAGAATCTACTTCACCGCACTCTAATGCTCTTTTCTTAGATTACTCATAAATTTACTCATAAGCCCAACTACATGAGTAGTATCTAATCTAGTATAGATTATAGTATGCATGAGAGAGTCAACCGCACTAGCCTAAGGGATTTGCTTCATTTCAATAATATTTTTCTTAGATGTTGGACACTAAGTAGTAGAGAATTTGAAATAACTAACTATAAGAGTGCTCCTTGTTTTAGTATTACTCATACCAAATAAATTCACCACCTTTGAAAGATAACTCCTTTGAGTCAACCATAGTTGACCTAACTCCTGATCTCTATAGATCTCTATACCAAGAATCTTCCTCACCACACCAAGATTATTCATGTCAAATTCTCTATTCAATAGTGCCTTCAATCTAGTAATTTCACGTTAATTATTAAAAGTAATAAGCATATCATCAACATAGAGCATCAAAATAATTAGAAAATCATCATCACAAGTCCTCATATAGACACAATAGTCAAAATTGTACCTCGTATAGTTAGTCTTAACATATAAGAGTCAAACTTTTTGTATTATTGCTTAGATGCCTACTTCAACCTATAAATGAACTTTTTTAATTGACAAACAAGATGTTCTAACCCCTGCACAATAAAACCCTCCGACTATTGCATGTAAATAGAATCTTTCAAGTCTTTATAAAGGAATGCTATTTTCACATTTAATTGCTCAAGTTTTATATCTTTATGTGCAACAATGGCTAACAACCAAGTGAATAGACATGTGCTTCATAATAGACGAAAAGATCTCTATATAATCAATTTCCTACTTCTATATAGAGTCTTTTACAACAAGCCTTGCCTTGTATTGTGACTAATCACTATCAATCATTAGTAACTTCTTCTTATATACTCATTTGTACTCAATAATTTACTTTCTTGCAAGAAGATTCATCAATTCTCAAGTGTGGTTCTTGTCTAAAGATGCTCACTCTTCAGACATCGCCTGCATCTACTTTTTTGCCTCTTTAAAAGTTACGGGTTCGTCATCTCCTGCAAATAATGTAAAGACAACATAATCATTAAGATGAGTAGAAGGCTTTACTTCACACCTACTCCATCTAGTAGCAATATCATCAAGAATATCTGATAATTCTACAATTCAATCTTCACTCACAATAGAACTAGAAGAATCCTGTATAGTCTCCACCTCCAGCCTTGCTATGTCTACAAGTCAAATATCATCAGATTCTTGAACCTTGTGCTCTATAGGAAAGGACTTTAACATGTGATATTCATAAAAAATCACATCTCTACTGAAAATAACTTTCTTTACCTCTAAATCCTAAAGTCGATATCCATTCAAGAGAGTGCTATAGCCTAAAAAGATATATTTTTTTGACTTTGGATCTAGCTTCAATCTCTCATCAGTAGGTATAAGAGCATATCCTGAATATTTAAATATATATAAATTCAAATAGTCAACAGGATTTTTAGTCCATACCTTTTAAGCAACCTTCCTATCAAGAGCAGAATTTGGTGACTTATTCTTCAAATAAGTTGCCATACTCAACTTTCACCCAAAATTCCTTGGACAAGTTGGCATTTAGTTGTAAACACCATGCTCTCTCAATAATCGTGCAGTTCATCTACTCAACAATACTACTCTACTACAAAGTCTTCTTCAAGATATAATAATATTAAATACTATGCTCATCACAAAACTAATCAAATTCAAAATTCTCAAATTTTGTATCATTATAAGTCTACAAGACTTTGATCTTTGTCTCTATCTGATTCTCCACCTTTGCACACTAAGTCTTGAACTTTGTAAATACTTCAAACTTGTGTTTCAAAAAGAATACCTAGACTTTTTTAGAAACATTATCAACAAAAGTCAAAAAATATCAAAGACCACCCATTAACGTCACACCAATCAAATCACACACATCTGAATGAGTATAATTCAGCACAACTTCCGTATCATACTTCATTACCTTGAATGTCACCTTGCATTATTTTTTCATGATATAGTACTTGCGAAAATTCAACTTGTAAATTTTCACACCAAGTAGTAGTCTTCGTACATGTAACTTCTATATACATGTCTCACTCGTATGACCCAATCAAAAGTGCCATAAAAGTATGTCATCAATCATAGAATCATCAAGTGTCACAACGTAAGTTCCACCTACAACAGTACTCCCCTCAAGTTTATAAATATTTGCTCATTAATATTTTTCCTTTATTACAATAAGTGATCCCTTGATAATTTTGAAGATCCCACTCTCTCATTTGAAGCAACATCTATTTGCCTTCAATACTTTAAGTGAAATTAAATTTTAGTGTAATGCTAGAACATAAGAAACATTTTCAAGTTCTTAGACTACTCTGTCAAACATCTGAACCTTCACCAAATCAATGCCTACAACTTTGCAAACTACATTCTTTCTTATAGAAATAACTCTATTACACTCTTGTACGAGTCAAATTAGTCAGCATTAGGACACATATGATAAGAACAACTAGTATCAAGAATCCATGTATTTGATAACTCTTCAACTGTAACAAGTCTAGAATAGACTCCATCTTCTTTGTCTTCAACCTTTGCAATATTAGCCGAACTAGATTCACTTCCTATTGTCTTATCACTCTGGTTCTTTGGACAATCTCTTCGCAAGTGTTCCTTCTCATGACACTTGTGATGAGTTTGGTTTTTCAACTAATTTGTTTGTGAATTAGATCGACTCTTTTTGTTTATTGATGATCCTTTCTCCTTCTACTTTCTGCATTCTCTTCCACCTTTCACATATAAATCTTCATGATAAGTCTTCATTATCATGAGTTAATAATTAGTAAATAATATAGTTTTAGCCTTAACTCATGATAAATAGACTTATATTTGTGTTAAAAAATGATTTGTAGTTTTCAATTGATTAACGTGAATTTTTGGGTAATTATGTGATTTTATACGATTTTTATAGTCTTACTTTCGAGATAAATGAAGAACAAGAAATAAAAATAAAAATATTGCAAAAATGGGGGACCCACCGGCCAGCCGGGCCCGCAAGCGGGTCGGAAGTGGGTCGGAAGCGCAGTCGGGGAGTAGCCGCGAGTAGGGGCTCGAGCAGCTTAGCTTGGGGACCGATAGGGCACGTGTACGCCACTCCCCTTCCACGTCACCGGTGGCCAACCGGCTGTGGGGCAAGGAGTGGTCGTACACGCGAGATAAGAGACTTTGCTTACAAAGCTAACATTACTATATATTCGCCTGAAAAATCGGCGCACAACCGATGTGGGACTAAACCCACGTCACACCTTCCTCACAGGTGAGCGACTGGTGCCGGTTCGAATCCTCCTAGAGTCAAAATTCATATATTTTTATCTGATTATCGCGACTTTCCTGCAGATCGCCGGTGAAGGATTAAGCAACGAGAATCACTAGATCATTGGCGAAAATCTCGTCAACACGATTGATCGACGAACAAGCCGTCGTCGGGAAGAGGACGATCCGCCGGGTGACGAGTCGCCACCTCTTGAGAGCGTACCAGATGCGATGAAGAGCCTCCTCTTGCTGCGCAGACCTGAGGATGAAGCTCCCTGACACGCGCCCCACCTTCATCCAGCTCCTCTCCGTCGGGTGACAGCCGCCAGAGAGCCGCAAAGTCGCCGTTTTTCCACTCTGCCGGGTGACAGCCGCCAGAGACAATTCAACGACTCACTTCACTGATCTCTAGACTTCGCGAGAAGATCTAGAGATTGCCCACGTCGTCTTTGTCTAAGGAGAGCCTTCGAGGCCGTGGACATTGCATGACGATCCTCCCGAACGCTCAGGATTCTGGTGCATCGCCGACGCATCGCCGTCGCGACGCCGGAACTCTATTTTCCTGCTTTCAATTTACTTTACGCTTCATTTAGTGATAATTTGTGTAATTTAAATTTACCAAACTATTCTTCATTCCATTACGATTCTTCTGGATTTTACAGATCTTAATTTGATCAATTAAATCGTCCGTAATCGCTTACATAAGAATTGCCGGGCGGAACTCTGTTTCCACCCGATTCGTGCTCGCCGGGTGCTGACGTCATCATCACGTCTGCACCCTTATTTCCCTTTTTCGTGAATTTTAAATATATTTCCTTTTTATTTCCTAGTATAAAATTCATAGAAAATCGTATTCATTGAGACAAATTCTGAATAGTTACTAGATATTATATTACATCCCTGTGATCAACCTAGAAAATTACCGCTATTTTTGGAATTTTTATTGAATTATAAATGATATATTTATTTAGAAATACTTCTAAATATCCGAAAATTCGTATTTTCTAGTTTTATAAATTTTATATTTGTGTGATTTAATATACAATGACTGAGTCACGCCACTTCACCACGAGCATTACCAACATTCTTCTTTTGATGAGAATACTCCATCAATGAGTTAGTAACATCTTCAAGAATGGATTCTATACTATCATGTAACAAGGTTGTAACAAGATGATCATATGAATTAGGGAGAGAAAAAAAAAATAAAATTATTCTTATTACAAAAATTTGATTCTATACGAAGCAAGTCATTTAATAATTTATTAAAATAATCAATATTAGATGCCAAATCATCTCCATTTAACATGTGTAACTAAAATAGTTTTCTCTTCAATGTCAATTTGCCCATCATCAACTTTGGTGCATATCATTTCTCCAACTTGTTCTAGAGTTCTTTTAGATTTTATTCATCCATGACCTGGTGAAAAGCCCAATTAAATAAATATGTACTAATAAAACCTTCTGCCTTCTTTTCTATTATCTCTCAATCATTAGTACTAATCTTGTCTGACTTTGGACTATTTAAAGTTTTACAGTGAGTTTACAACAACGTATCATACACATAATACTTTCAGAGATTAAAGTTACAAGACTTATCAAACTTCTAAATGTTAATATGGACCTCAAAAGCTATAGTAAATCTAGAAATAATCAAATCAATACTCTAATACTACTTCTAAAGAAAATATATGCAAGCACAGGATCACAATAATAATAGAAACTCAATTTTTAGATGTAATGAGAACAAATAGAAAAGAAATCACTAAGTTATTAGGAATCTTGATGAGAACAAGACTTCCACCAAACACCTCTAATCCACATTAAAGAGTCAACAATGAACTCTTATCTCCTTCTATAAGGACTTCACCTACAATAGAAGAGAAGGAAGAACCAAGAAAAGAAATAGAGTTGATGGAGAGAGACAACAAGATTGAGAGATAAAGAGATAATTCATCGTTGATTGTACTAAAAAAAGAGTAAATACATGCCTTATTTATAGTGAATAGAAAAAGATAATTACTCCTTAAAAGAAAACACCTTGATCTATGTGTAACTTAACCCACACATATCAAAAGTGATGGCTGCAACCACCCTTGTTATCTCTATGTATGAGCCCCGATCGGGTCAAAAGGGTTGACATGACTATTGTGTCACCATCTTGTTATTCTTTGCATGCCTCCTGAGCGAGTCAAATTGGAGAGCTCTCTCTCATGTCTCCCAACGGCGAGCAATACCATCTCTCTGATGAGTCAAGACTGACACCGTCAACAATCTCTTCGTCTAAAACTTCAGCGGTACCTTCTCTCATCTTGAGAAACTTAAAAAATGGCAGACTTGCTTTCCTATTGATACTTAATTGTTTCCTTGCCGATTGTTGACCATGTTAACATCCACTGCGTATAACCGATCCACTCAAAGTCAAAACTCATCCAACGAAACCGTCGTCATGTGCCCGTGAGCAAAAGTCAACTAGTCAAAATAAATTCTGAGCGGGTGTGAAAGCAGTATAATTAGGAATCCCGGTCTCGACGAGTTATGGACATTTTGAGTGGCGTGAATGAACAGACCGCATTATTTCAGCCCATTCCACCCGCAGAAATAAACCACCGTACAGGGACAAGACTTCTTCACTACGCCAGCCCAGCGTAGCCTAAAACCCTAATCGAATCAGCTCGCTAGGAGCACCTCTGCCAGCAACCCGGAGTCATTGCCACCCTCAGCAGGCCCGCGGCTGTCGCTGCTTTCCTTGTTCTCCATGATGCCGCATAGATTGCGCCGGGATGTGCCACGACGATCATGGTGTTCTCCAGGCCGGGGTGCAGTGGTGGAAGCACGGACAGTAACGGCTTCGACCTCGTCCTTTCCTACAGTGGCTTCCACTTCGTGTACACGGAATTGCTGGAGGCAGTCCTGTACAGGGAACGCAACTGCAATAACAGCTATCGTCCCAGGTATCTGGACGTGGAGACCCGCTACTGCCGTGGGTTGTCCTCCAAGAGCGTGGACATTGTGTGCTAAGTAGCTGAAAATGTTCACCGTCACGTTCTTGGCTTTCGAGGATTTCCGCCGTCACATTGGAAAAGCTAGCTTCGTTCATAGAACGAAACGGGAAATCGATCATAACCTAAAAGGCGGGCATAAAATATCTACGTATAGATTGATATGATTATTTACAGAAAATGTTGGAGGCCTTGCACATAACAGGACATAAGTACTAAGCCTGCATCCTAAGTCAGGAATAAAAGCTTCACTTCCATTTCGTCATTTTTAATCTACGTCAGCCAAGTCGTTGGCCTCTAATAAACTCTGTGACCCATATTTTCCAACTAACCTTTCTGAAAAACACATCAGCGTTCAAGTTTACTTTAACCATTTCAAAGGGTGCTCTATATTTTCGGCTTTTTTGATGTTCACACCAAACCATGGTCTGAACAATCCGCTGGCGCAGGCAGATGTTATATTGTCTTTCGTACTTATTACCATTAAACAAGATTCGGTACAAGACTATCCTCCCATTAGTTATTTATCCTTTACAAGTACACATCGTCCAGCCGGTTTACAACGAAGTAACCGGCGGTTTATTCACCCATTATTCATCCAACAGTTTAGGAATCAGCCAAAGAGAGCACGTCGCCGTCCCTTAGCACACCATCTCCACGCTCCTGAAGGGGAACCTGCGACAATAACGGGTCTCCTCATCCAGAAACTTAGTGCGATAGCTGTTCCTGCAGTGGCGGTCCGTGTATAGGACGGCCTCCTGCTCCTCCGTGAACACGAAGTGGAAGCCGCTCTGGTAGCCGGTGAGGTCGAAACAGCCGCAGCCGTTAACGTCCTTGCTCCGTCCGCTGCATCCTGGCCCGGAGAAGACGGTGAGCGTGCTCGCCGATGCCGGCGCAATTAATGCGACGGCAAGGAGAACCAGGAGAGCGGCGGCGGCCGCGGGCTTCCCTGTGGTGGCCATGACTTGCAGTTTCTGACGGAGGTGCTCGTAGGAAGCTGATTCGCTTAGAGGTTTGGGTCGTGCTGCGCTGGAGTGGTGAGGAGCTCTTGTCCATGCGCGGAGATTAATTTATAGGAGTAGAAAGGGCAGATGCGGTGCTGAAATAATGCGGTTGGTTCATTCACGCCACCTAGAAAACCCGTGGGCTTTCGAGACTCAGATTCTGAGTCAGTGGTGTTACAATATATTAACCGTTTTCCTGCGCGCTGGCCTCGTTGACATCTTTCTGTTTAGTTGGAATTACAGGCAGACGATGTAGTATTTATTGAACCAGTCCTTCGTTCTGATGAATACGGTAGTCTCCCGGCTGTCAGAGTTTGATCTAGTCGATCTTGATGAAGATAGATCAAAATCAGTATTCAGCAGATAAGGAAGTATACGCAGTTTCGTCCAGTTTTCCGATATTACAGTAGGTGTTCGCGAAACTAATGAATCGTTGATCGGCGGAGTCGGAACGCGTAGTCGTCTCTGCCGAATTCTATTCGTTTGGAAAGCGGTCTTCTAAAACATTTCTGTCTTATCCTGTATAAACGCGCAAGCCCATACCGGCTGTAGGGCAGCACACTGTATTGCATTATTATCGTCCGTCAAGTACGGTGGGGGAACACGGCGATAGATAACGCTTACCGGCAAATTTGACCACCGTCACTGACTACGTTTCCTTCTGAAACCCCTTCTCGTTTTGATGAATTGTCTTTTGTTTTTTTTCTAATCACTAGATGTTCACATAGTATGTTCACTGGGCGGTCGTTGACACGTGTGGTAATGGCCTCCGAATCCATGTCCGTTCAAAGCATATCTCCTACTTTTCGGAGTACAACAGTTCGTCACATTCAGACTGACAGCACTCGTGCGTTGGGATTGCTATGTTCGGTTCTTATAAGGTAATGAAAACTTTGGCGCATAGCTAATTACGGTCTCTGCGTTTATCTTCTGCCGGGGAAACGTTCCGCTAGACTTGCTATGAAACGCCCTTTTTGCCTTATTAATTATATCTACCTGACAAGCGTCATTTGTATCGGACCTACCTATAGAAAATGACAACACTTTTTTTCCAAACGTAGACTTTCAATCATCTGGTGTATAACGAGGTACCTAGGTATGAAAGTATCCGCATAAGAAGTTACAACCATCCAGTTGTTCATCCATGAGCTTAGCTCTGCACACCAGCTTGTCCACTCAGTTACAACTGTTCAAAATGTGGGACACTATCTCCCTCGAGACAGGTATATGCTTACCTTCTTTCTTCGGTTAAATTACTTATTACATCTATATTTAGGCTTGATCTTGTTTTTGGTTTGAAAATTAATTACTTTGTCTATATTTAGGCTTTTTTACCCACCTTACCCTTCCTTTATTCTTATCAAGGAAAAGCTTCTGAATGGCCACATGATCCTAATTCAATGGCAGAGCATGTTTGAAACATTTAAATTCTACATTAAATCCATGGAATCCCCACACCCGGATTCTCAATCGGCCTGCGTTAAAAATTATTTCCTTTTTCCTATCCTCCCAATAAGAATGTATATTTTAGCTGGTTGAAATCAACTCACGGGCACATGACGACGGTGCCGTTGAATGATTACTCTGTTTGAATGAGCTCAGTAGGCTGTTCGCATGCGGGTCTTGACGCAGTCGCCCTTCGTCAAGGGAACCCATCGCTTGAGAACGGTCAGAACAAAGAAGTATGGATATGAACGTGGCATTTGTCATTTGAGGCGGCGCTTTAGACGAAGGTATCTATTAATACAAAGATGTTATGGATGCTATAGGAAATAATGTACTGGTTGGATAAGAAGGAATTTTCTGACGTATTTTCATAAAATTGAAGGGTCGTTGACGGGCGGAGTCGGAAACGGAAAAAGGTTCGGTGGGCCTCGTACCATTTAAACTGCCTCAATAGGAAATTTTCGATGGCTGAGCTCTCGCAAACGCGCAAGTGCGTACCCCCTAAAGGAAGCTCGCTGTATGATACTAACGTGGAGAACAAGACGATAGATACTGTTCAACAGAGAACCTGGCTACCATAACCAGCTAGTTTTCCCTATCAGAAACCCCGGTAGGTTACCGAAATTGTGTGTTTTGCCTTCAACGAATCTACATATGGGGACATTTTATATACGTCGACGAAAACATGACAGAAGTTTTCATGCCGCTCTAGCAAATAATCAGTGTGCTTGCCCATTCCCGGTGCCTAATTTGTAGGAGCTCTTCAACTAACTGGACAGCTCCAAGTAATTCTATTGAATGGATCTAAAGAGCAGGTATCACCAAGTTCAAATCCTGGAGGGCAATAAACTAAAGATAACATACATCACATTATGGATTGTATGATGTCATAACTGTGCCATTTGAACTAATCAATTTGGCGACCATATTCTGCACCTTAATCAGTGGACTTCATGGGTCCTGTTGAAAAGAAATTTTGCCACCAGCCTTGTCTCCTATATATGTCAATCTGATATGCTTTACTTGACTTGCCGCTGCTTGGTCCGCCCTTGTATGGTTGTCCATCCACTCCCTTCGCCCTTCGCCCCATGCCATTCGTTTGCCTAGCAATGTACCCCGGCGTACCAGTCTTTAACCCTTTTCACCGGCCGGTGGCCCAGTGTGTGTCCCACGCAGATGTACACAAGCTCAACAAAGTCAGAAACACGTGGTGCCCTCTCCTTCTAGCAAGATATACGCTACTTTCATTTATTGTTTTAATTTAGTTGACCTATGATTACCTTGAACTTGTCTTTGGTCAGGGTGTATTTCAACTGTATCTTCTCTCGCAAATACCATTCCATTCAAAATCTTCCTTACCTTTTCGAAACATCAAAACCCTCCCAGGATTCTAATCTAGTGGTTGCTTCCAAGAAATGCTGCAGAGTAGCTAGCCATGCAGCAGGTTATTGTGAGACCGCAATTTATGTTAGCTGTGAGTTTGTACTAGTTCGTTTAGTGAAGTGGGTGACGTGCGCTGGTGGGAAATGGTAAAATTCTCCTTTTTTCCTCCTTTTTGAAGACAAGGGAATAAGAACATTGTCACTAAGCAAGAAGGAGATATGCCTTGGATGTCTGTGCACCTGTCTCCCCTATTTTACGAGCATGTTCGATTGTCATTGTCATCGTTTCTATTATTCATTTCTTGATTCACTTCAAGTTGCGTCCTTAAGTTACTATCCAATTTAGTAATCTGACATATACTCTGTTTTATGATTTGGAATATCTCTTAAAAGTTTCTTTAAAATCATTCATTTAATACATTCCACACATTTGACTTTTTATTTATCTTTCGGATTGATTTTCCTGATGAATCATATAGTTAGAGTAATTGCTTGTTGTCTGACACAAGTGTAGATACTATCCCATCTTGATTCGTCCAACATCAGGTAAAATGAAAAAGAATACACTGAGGAAAGAGAAAATGAAGAATGCTATTATGACCATTCAGTAAACATGTGGAAAAGTGAATAGGGTCAAAGAAGAAGGCTTTAAAAAGCTCATGAAGAATAGAAAATGCCTCTTCTATCGTAAAACTAATCACTTTAAGAAAGGTTGTTCTAATGAAAAAATAGCTCCGAAAGAAGGGTGACCTCTATACTTTTGAGTGTTATGAATCAAATTGAATTTGCTACTTCGATGACAAGGAGATGAAATCCTTTTCAAACAAGTTTTTCTTCGCACATAATGTTAAAGGGCTTGAGCTTGTTTCTGTACGTGGTGAACTACGTATGAGAACGCTTAATGGCTGTTGCATGGTTTACATTTTGACCAAAGTCAAAAGAAATCAAAAGCTTTCGGCAATAAAACATTTAAAGCAGACAACACACGAATAACCCATGTTCTCAATCGAGGTATACATTTTTCTGGTCATCTTTCCTTCATGAAAAGATACACATCATTCTGCCGCTGCACAGCGAATAACCCTTGTCTATTCAACTAAGTCTGAAAGCCAAAACCAGGAGACCACGTCTCAGTAAATAAATAATTACAAGTACGGATAATGCAGCCAGTTCGGAACTGAGTAAATGGCCATTTATTCACCTATATCTACTAATAGTACTAGAACCCACGAACGATAAAGCAGGTCGCCGTCCGTTAGGACATCTCCACGGCCACTGAAGGGGAACTTACGCAGTAACAGGCCTCCTCGTCCAGAAATTTAGAGCGACAAGCGTTCTTGCAGTTGCGGTTCCTGTACAGGACGGCCTCCACGTCCTCCGTGTACACGAAGTGAAGGATGCCCTGGTAGCCAGTGAGGTCGAAAGATCCGCAGCCGTGGATTCCTTGCTCCGACTGCTGCATCATGGCCCGGGGAACACCATGAGCGTGCTCGGCGACGCCGGCGCAATCAATGCGACGGCGAAGCGAACGATGGGAGCGGCGGCAGCCGGGGGCCTGGCGATGTTGGCCATGACTTGCGATTGCCAGCGGTGTTCCTAGGAATTTGATTCAATTACGGTTTGGTGTTACGCAGGGCTGGAGTAGTTCAGAGGTTTTTTCGACACGTGAAGGTTAATTTATAGGGGCTGGAAAGAGCAGATATGGAGCTTAAATAATGCGGTAAACTTATTGACGCCGCGGCAAAACATTCATCGATGGTACTTAATCGGAGAGCATTCAAATAATTATTTTGCTCATCTCCGCCCAGACGGAAATTAATTTAGTCCGTTGACATCTGCTGAGGAGAACATGATGATGGTGTCGGAGAGCGATAAATCTGTTTGAATTGAGGTAGTCGTCTGTGCTCATGCCAATTTTCACGTGGTCGGCCTTCGTCATGGGACAAAAGTATTAATCGGAAAAGAACACGTGAAGGTTAACCTATATTTTCCATCTAACAACACAAACAGATTATCAATCACGTTTATCTAAACCATATTAAAGAATCATAATTTCCTCAGCCTTTATAACGTTCACGAAACAAGATTTACGCACTAGTCCGCCGCATACAAATGTGCTTTAGGATTTAGTACTTTTTATCATCAAAGCAGTTTCGGTACCAAACTACCCTCCCATATACATCATGGAGGCCGCTCACAACGAAGTAACCGGTGGTTGATTTGAACTGTACCAAATGCACTGAAAGAGAGCACACCGCCGTCCCCTTCTTAGCACACCATCTCCACACTCCTGAAGGGGAACCTGCAGCAGCAACGGGTCTCCTCTTCCAGAAATTTAGAGCGATAGGGTCCGCATACAGGACGGGCTCCTGCTCCTCCGCGTACACAAAGTGGAAGCCGCCTGTGTAGCCGGTGAGGTCGTAACAGCCGCAGCCCGTGATGTCCTTGCTCCGTCCGCTGGATCCCGGCCTGGAGAAGACGGTGAGTGTGCTCGCCGATGCCGGCGCAATTAACGCGATCGCACGGAAAACCAGGAGAGCGGCGGCGGCTGTGGGCTCTGATAGACCCTTGGATGCTCTCCACGAACCGGTCGACTCCACGTAACCGGTCAACTCAACGTAAGCGTCTTCTCCGGGAAACGTTGGCCAAAGTTACTCCAGAGCGTGAGTAACCGTCTTCGACTATCACCTATATAAGACGAGGAACCAGAGGGAAGAGAAGTCATGGAGTCTCACCCGCTCTAAGGGTGCTTGAGAGTCTGACCCGCTTAAGGGTCATTATCATCTACCATCCCTATCACTCACGTCATCTCTCTCTCTCTCACGCTCTAGAGTCTCCGTTTCACCTTTTCCTTGCACTGTTCACAAGTTCTGTTGTATTCCAGAGTTCCGCGAGTTATTGTGGTTCTTCGGTGTCTTTCTCTTCTCACGGAGTCTTTCGCGAAGGAGGGTCGTCACAAGTCGTCATACGGCCACTGTTGAGTTACTGTTCAGTCATTATTTAATTCTAGTTTATCTCTATCCTCTCAATACGTTATCCATTATTTCATTCTCTCCTCCCCGAGATCGGTAATTCCTCTGCAATATCATATACTCTTCAATATCCGAGGAGTTATCCGTTCCCCCGTCAAGGGATGTCGAAAGAGGGTCAACGGAACCTAGGTTCCTATCAGCTTCCCTGTGGTGGCCATACTTGCCGTTCCTGACGGAGGTGCTCGTAGGAAGCTGCTTCTATTTGGGTTTAAGGTTAATTTATGGGGGTGGAAAGGGCAGACCCGGCGATGAAAGAATGCGGTAAATTCATTCACGCCACGCACAATGGGTCGTCATTCGAATATTTTTTATTTATTTCAGTTTTAATCAGAAACAGACGACGAAGGCTTCGTTGGACTTGTCTGTTCAATGGTTCAACGATGTCGGAGCTTGACCTGGTGGATCTGTATGAAGGGATCCTAACTTGTCAGGTCTTCAATACCATCTTCAATACATATTTTCGTCGGTAGTTAAAATATGTATTCATGAGAAAACAATGTATATGGAGTTTCGTACAGTTTCTCAAAGATACAGCGTCAAGACTCCCCCGCATAGAGTCGACTGCGGGGCGTTCAACGACGCCGTTCTCGTGTCCCATGTCAACCAATAAAAAAATGTAATGGAATAATATACATACGCGCCGTATGTATATGGAATAATTTTCAATGACCTCCCAATCAAAATCCGAGTCTTGACGATCCATGGATTTTCTAGGTGACGTGAACGAAGTTGCCACGTTTTTACGCACAGCGGCTCCCCTTTCTTCGGCCTGCCCAAATTAATCTAACAAGAGGCGTGGATCCCGGGAGGCATAGTCAAAGGACTCATCCCTATAAATTAACCTCCAGGCCTGAACAAGAACTCTTCACTACTCCTGATACTTTAAAATAGATCTTATTGATGATGTCGGGTACAGGAAAGATACTAAGCACAATTTGGCAGAGGCCAACGAATTGGCTGAGGTAGGATAAAAAAGCTTAAATGCAAATAAGTTTTTATTCCATAGTTTCTATGACCCGAAAGCTGAAGCTCACAATTTGAACTCAGGTCAATCATCAAATCAATACGTAGACATTTTATGCCTTGCATTCAGGTTATGATCGATTTTCCGTTGGCTTCCGTGAACGGAACAGAACTCCAACAACGTGAAAAGGAAAATCATGCTGAGGAGTACAATCTTCTCTTGTAACTGAGATGCATTGGAAAATCACTGAGACGCTTCACGGCGTCTATCCTTTTTCGTTGACGTATATAATTGTCCCCGTCAATAGATTCGTTGAAGACAAAGTAAACAACTTTTTACCTACCCGGGTTTCTGACAGGCAAGACTAGCTATTGAACACTATCTATCATCTTGTCGTCGACGTATATAAATTGTCCCCATCCATAGATTCGATGAAGACAAAAGAGACAATTTTCTAACCTACCGGGGCTTCTGAAAGTGAAATCTAACTGGTTGTTGAATAGTATCTATCGTCTTGTTGTCGACGTCAATATCATTCAGCGAGCTTCCCAACGGCGGTATACGCACTTGGAATGGCATTTTGGTGAGCTAAGCCATCGAAAAGTTTCTACTGAAGCAATTGGAAGGGCACGAGGCTCAACCCCCGTTGAACTTTTTCCGTTTCATGCTCCGCCCGTCAACGACCCTTCTATTTTACGAAGATCTGTAAGCAAATTCCGACGTATCTGACCACTACCTTATTTCGTACTGTATCCATATCATTTTTCAAATGATAGATATTTTCATGGTGGTGACTATGACTTGCAGTTTCTCACGGAGTTGGTCCTAGAAATCTGAGTGAATTGGGGCTTTGGTGGGCTGGAGTTGTCAAAAAAGAGCTGTTGTTCCTGCACAATTGGTATGGAAAGGGCAGACACGGTGCTGGAATAATGAGGTAAGTTCATTCACGCCAAAAACCGGGTTTTCCAAAACGGAATGGGAGAGTGCCGAGTTTGCGGTAAAGCTTTTAATTCCTTTAAGCGTTTAGATCCCGTAATAATTTTTTTTTGCTGAACTGAATATGAACCATCTCATAAAATATGTTTTGTCTCATTGATCGTGTAGTAAAGCCACCTTACTATTTTAAAATTCTTTCATCTCCTTGTCTAAATATTGATTAGCTTACATGGTCTATAGTCGTAATCCAACAATAACAGAAATGGTAGGCAGCTCAAAAAGTAGGAAATGTAATGGAATTTCTACAGTAAAGCTAAAAGTTCGAAATATGTGACACAGTACGAAAGACCTGCAAGCAAGACACTAGATATCAGCAGTTGATCATCTGCACTAACCTATTCAGACCTTGTTGAAATATTTTTGGAAGAGTTGATTGCATGAAAAAATTCAATTATGTTCCTGTTGATATATATTTCCAAATACACTACTTTGAATAAAAATTGAAACAAGATTAATGCGCTCATAATCCATTAAGATGTGTCTCTGATATTAACATTGTCAACTCTTTTTATTTTTAATCAAATCATGAGGGTGCTAAATTATGGAATTCAAAATTTATATTTATAGTAAAAAATTGGAAATATCATTGTTAGAAATAACGAGATATTGCTTTGTTGAAAAGAAGAAGTACCAATTGAAATTATACGAGAATCATTTTTTCTCACTAGAATTACTATAATTAATCACAGACTAGAATTTTCACTTTGTTATAACTATCCTTATATGGAAAAATGTTTCAGTGATATGATTCATAGAAATAAATAAAGAACATGCAATGATAATTGGTTTATCACCCTTTATTGATTTGAGAATATAATACATGACAGTGGGAAAGACACTACAGACAAAAAGGCACTCTATAGTGATTTTCTTGTGCATGTTTCTAGTCCTTCCCAATGCATTCTTGCTTGCTAGGATCCTGATAAGTCTTCATTATCATGAGTTAATAATTAGTAAATAATATAGTTTTAGCCTTAACTCATGATAAATAGACTTATATTTGTGTTAAAGTGTGAAATGTGGTTTTCAGTTGATTAACGTGAATTTTTGGGTAATTATGTGATTTTATACGATTTTTATAGTCTTACTTTTGAGATAAATAAAGAAAAAGAAATAAAACTAAAATATTGCAAAATGGGGGACCCGCCGGCCAGCCGGGCCCGCAAGCGGGTCGGAAGCTCAGTCGAGGAGTAGCCACGAGCAGGGGCTCGAGCAGCTTGGACTGATAGGGGCACGTGTGCGCCACTCCCCTTCCACATCACCGGTGGCCAACCGGCTGTGGGGCAAGGAGTGGTCGTACATGCGAGAGAAGGGACTTTGCTTAGAAAGCTAATATTACTATATATTCGCCTGAAAAATTGGCGCACAACCGATGTGGAACTAAACCCGCGTCACACCTTCCTCAGAAGGGGCAGACAACCGGTGCGGGTTCGAATCCTTCTAGAGTCAAAATTCATATATTTTTATCTGATTATCATGACTTTCCTGCAGATCGCCGGTGAAGGATTAAGCAACCAGAATCGCTGGATCATCGGCGAAAATCTCGTCAACGCGATTCGCGGAGCATTGCTACAAAAATTGTTGAACGATTCGCGATAAAAGGATCACAAATCCATCGAGTAAATCATCTCCGATTGATCGACGAACAAGCCATTGTCGGGAAGAGGACGATCCGCCAGGAGATGAGTCGCCACCTCCTGAGAGCGTACCAGATGCGATGAAGAGCCTCCTCTTGCTACGCGGACCTGAGGATGAAGCTCCCTAACACGCGCCCCACCTCTATCCAACTCCTCTTCGTCAGGTGATAGCCGTCGGAGAGCTGCAAAGTCGCCATTTTTCCGCTCCGCCAGGTGACAGCCGCCGGAGACGACTCGACGACCCATTTCATTAATCTCTAGACTTTGCGAGAAGATCTAGAGATTGCTCACGTCGTCTTTGTCCAAGGAGAGCCTTCGAGGCCGTGGACACTGCATGACGATCCTCCCAAACGCTCAGGATTCCGGTGCATCGCTGACGCATCGCCGTCGCGACGCCGGAACTTTGTTTTCCTACTTTCAATTTAATTTACGCTTCATTTAGTGATACTTTGTGTGATTTTAATTTACCAAACTATACTTCGTTCAATTATGATTCTTCCAGCTTTTACAGATCTTAATTTGATTAATTAAATCATTTGTAATCGCTTACGTAAGAATCGCCGGGCGGAACTCTATTTCCGCCCGATTTGCGTTCGCCAGACGCTGACATCATCCTGACGTCCGCACCCTTATTTCCTTTTTTTTTGTGAATTTTAAATATATTTCCTTTTCGTTTCCTAGTATAAAATTCATAGAAAATCGTATTCATTGAGAAAAAATCTGAATAATTACAAAATATTATATTACATCCATATGGTCGACCTGGGAAATTATCGCTATTTTTGAAAGTTTTATTGAATTAGAATTGATATATTTATTTAGAAATACTTCTAAATATCTGAAAATTTGTATTTTCTAGTTTTATAAATTTTATATTTGCGTGATTTAATATACAACGACTAAGTCACGTCAGATCTAATAGTGCATTTACAAAGATTACAATGCTGAATGAACTCTAGTTCATCAACCAACTTAATAGGCTGTCTATTATCCAAGATAGGCGTATGATTTTGTTGGGGTAGTCACTTACTATGCAGGGCGCTGCGCTAAATGGATAACAATTGTGAAATAACAAAAATGGCACTTTATAGAGGTTTTCTAGCGCATGTCTCTAGCCGTCTTCCACTGTTTGCTTTCAAGATCTAGCGGCTTCCCCTCTTCTATTTGCCTATTGATTAGGCTTCCTAGATCCAATGCTTTCCTCTCTTCCGTAGGGAACAACGAACTTCGTTCTGGGTACCTGCTAGAATAGCTGGTCTGTAGCTAATCTCCTTCGTCGTGCCTGCAAAAAAAGCCATCCTGTTTCTATCGTCTCAAGAGAGAGAGGAAGAGAAGGACTACAAGATGGAGAATGCACGCATAGGATTGAGAAATCGACAGCAATTAGGTCTAAATTCGAAAACTCAATTAGTATTCAAAGATGTTAGTTTATTTCCCCTTCCCATCTAATGAGAGTTTACATCTCTGCTTCTTGGACCAACTCGGGGCGAAGTGAGCCTCTGACACTCTGCCTTATTGAGCCTCGAATGAGCCGCTAAGCAGTTATGACTGCAAGTGGAAGTTCATAAACATGAGGCAGAAATGTTACATATCATAATAGACTAAAAAAATTGATACAAGTTGCTTAAACGTATAGAAACTGACTTTATAATATCAAACAACAATCATTTTCACAATAGTGGATGCTTGTTACAAATTTCCGATATTACCCAGATAAACTGCTTTTGTTAAGTTTAGATCTTCTATTTTTGTTTCCATTTTTTTCCCCATTATTTGTCAAGATCCGGGTTCCCGTTATTCCATCCTTGATTTACTGTCCTCTAGATCATATTCTGAACGGGGAGTTCTACAATGTTACTTAATTTTCAACTGGCAGTGAGACGTACCTGTAATCATAAATATTGTATGGGAGGAGAGTATGGTGGCGAAACTTGTTTAATGGTAGTAGGTACAAAATACTATAGCACGTGTACATGCGCCGGAGCAGTTTTTAGGTATCGTTCCGTGTAAGCTTATAAACCCTAAAGATAAATCTTCTTTGATATGGTTAAAACAAACATGATCAGTATCTGTGTTTTACTAGGGTTAGATAAAAATATAGGTCACTCAATTAATTAGAGGCAAACAACTTGGCTTACGCAGATAAGAAAGCACTAAATGGAAACAAGTTTTTATTTCTGAGATAGGGTACAAATTTAATGCTTATGTCATTGTATCTGCAAGGGCTTTCATAGTTTCTGTCCCCCAAACTTATGCGCAAAATTTTCTTTGCACTCAGAAATAATTATATTAATCTATAGGTAGATATGCCCGACATTCGGGTTGCGACCAATTTCCAGTTCCCTTCAACGTGTAAAAGGAAATCATGTCAGGGGTGGGAACCCGCTTTACTCTAAAATAAGAGTCTGGGTTGTAACTAAGATGCATTGGAAGACCATTGCAAAACAAACGCTATCATGAAAGAGACATCAAAATCTCCTCATACGTAAATTCGTTACGGATGAAAGAGACAATTTAGGTAACCTACTAGAATTTCCGACAGGAAACTAGCTGGTTTTGCTTGTCATATTCGCTGTTAAACAAAAACTATCACCTTGCACCCGCTCCCCACGCTAAGATCATACAACGAGATACGTTAAGGAGAGATAACCCATCAAAAATTGTTTACTAAAGCCATTGGAAGAGCATGAGGCTCAGCCGAAACAATTTCTGCTTCAAATTTAGCCCATCAATGACTCTTCAGTTTAGTGAAGATCCATAAATCACTTCCTTCATATCCGACCACTAGATCATTGTTTCATAGATTATCCTTATCATTTTTCTATATTAATAGATATGTTGTTTAAAACACTGCCCTTACCTCTCTTCATCTCAAGAAACCTTAAGCTCCTTTCCCATTCGTACTTTAATGTTCTGACTACTCTCAAACAATGGGTTCCACATGCATACAGTCGAATGCTTCCATCAGAAAAAGAGATATTACAATTATATTCAGATCCTTCTCTAATTTGTATATTTATCCTTTCCATTCACAACTATATTGGATCTTGATAGGGATTAAGTTAAACTGGTGTAAGTCCCTCTATCCATTTTCTCATTAAATTAATATATTTCATTTCACCTTTCTCTTTCTCTACCATCTCTAGCAAGCCAACCATTCTCTTGCCACTAGTGGCACCTCCTCTAGCGACTTGTAAACCCAGTGGCTCAAACGTAGTATCAAAGCATTCTAGATGACTTTATTTTGCCACTATTTAATTGCTCAAGTCTCTTCTTCCTCTTCCTTGCGAGATGCTGATTACGACAAAAGAAAAGCTAAGAACTGATAAGTCTTCATTATCATGTGTTAATAATTAGTAAATAATATAGTTTTAGCCTTAACTCATGATATATAGACTTAGATTTGTGTTAAAGTGTGAAAAGTGGTTTTCAGTTAATTAACGTGAATTTTTAGGTAATTATGTGATTTTATACAATTTTTACAGTCTTACTTTTGAGATAAATGAAGAAAAAAAAATTTAAAAAAAAATATAGCAAAATGGGGGGCCTGTTGACCAGCCGGGCCCGCAAGTGGTCGAAAGCGTAGTCGTGTAGGAGCCGCGAGCAGAGACTCGAGCGGCTTGAACCGATGGGAGCATTGTTACTAAAATTATTGAACAATTCACGATAAAAGGATCGTGAATCCATCGAGTAAAGCATCTCTAATTGATTGACGAACAAGCCATTGTCGGGAAGAGGATGATCCACCGGGAGATGAGTCGTCACCTCTTGAGAGCGTACCAAATGTGATGAAGAGCTTCCTCTTGCTGCGCGGACCTAAGGATGAAGCTCCCTGACACGCGCACTGATGTGACTCAGTCGTTGTATATTAAATCACGCAAATATAAAATTTATAAAACTAGAAAATATGAATTTTCAGATATTTAGAAGTATTTCTAAATAAATATATCAATTATGATTCAATAAAACTTCCAAAAATAGCGGTAATTTTCCAGGTCAATCACAGGGATGTAATATAATATCTGATAATTATTCAGAATTTTTCTCAATGAATACGATTTTTTATGAATTTTATACTAGGAAATAAAAAGGAAATATATTTAAAATTCACGAAAAAGGCTCAGGATGACATCAGGATGACATCAGCGCCCGGCGAACGCGAATCGGACGGAAACAGAGTTCCGCTCGACGATTCTTACGTAAGTGATTACAGATGATTTAATTAATCAAATTAAGATCTGTAAAAGCCGGAAGAATCGTAATAGAACAAAGTATATTTTGGTAAATTAAAATCACAAAGAAATATCACTAAATGAAGTGTAAAGTAAGTTTAAAGCAGGAAAACAGAGTTCCGGCGTCGCGATGGCGATGCGTCGGCGATGCACCGGAATCCTGAGCGTTCGGGAGGATCGTTGTGCAGTGTCCACAGCCTCGAAGGCTCTCCTTGGACAAAGACGACGTGGCCAATCTCTAGATCTTCTCGCGAAGTCTAGAGATCAATGAAATGGGTCGCTAAGTCGTCTCTGGCGGCTGTCACTCGGCGGAGCGGAAAAACGGCGACTTTGCGGCTCTCCAGCGGCTGTCACCCGATGGAGAGGAGTTGGATGGAGGTGGGGCGCGTGTCAGGGAGCTTCATCCTCAGGTCCGCGCAGCAAGAGGAGGCTCTTCATCGCATCTGGTACGCTCTCAGGAGGTGGCAACTCGTCTCCCGGCGGATCGTCCTCTTCCCGACGACGGCTTGTTCGTCGATCAATCGGAGATGATTTACTCGATGGATTCGCGATCCTTTTATCGCGAATCGTTTAGCAATTTTAGTAGCAATGCTCCGCGAATCGCGTTGACGAGATTTTTGCCGATGATCCAGCGATTCTGGTTGCTTAATCCTTCACCGGCGATCTACAGGAAAGTCGCGATAATCAGATAAAAATATATGAATTTTGACTCTGGGAGGATTCGAACTTGCACTGGTTGTCCGCCCCCCCTTCTGAGGAAGGTGTGACGCGGGTTTAGTCCCACATCGGTTGTGCGCCGATTTTTCAGGCGAATATATAGTAATGTTAGCTTTTTAGGCAAAGTCCCTTCTCTCGCGTGTACGACCACTCCTTGCCCCTCAGCCGACTGGCCACCGGTGACGTGGAAGGGGAGTGGCGCACACGTGCCCCTATCGGTCCGAGCTAAGCCGCTCGAGCCTCTACTCGCGGCTACTCCCGACTGCACTTCCGACCCGCTTGCGGGCCCGGTTGGCCGGCGGGTCCTCCCATTTTGCAATATTTTTATTTCTTTTTCTTCATTTATCTCAAAAGTAAGACTGTAAAAATCAGATAAATTCGTATAAAATCACATAATTACCCAAAAAATCACATTAATCAACTGAAAACCACTTTTCACACTTTAACACAATTATAAGTCTATTTATCACGAGTTAAGGCTAAAACTATATTA